TTGACGAGGAGTCGCTCCGCGTGTAGCTTGACGGCCCCGGGAATAATCGTCTCCTTATACCGTTGCTTCTTTTCACCCGACAATACGTCCGTGATGCTGCACGTTATAGTTGCCCCCAGGTAGTTGGTGCACTTATCCCCCGCAGCCTCGCAGTACCTCTTCTTCCTCCCACGACTTTCTTTCTCCAGATCCTCCGTGAACACTTTAATGCGGATGGGCGCCCAGCCATCGTCTTCGTCCCCTGCAGTGGCGACGGTGTACGCCTGCATCGCGCCCTGTCCCCTGCGCGGCACCTCACGCAGCACCGCAGTCGACGGCCGGACGCTCCTCCGAAGCACCTCGTCGAACGCACGGCGATCTGCAGCGGCGAGGCACCCAGCAGCGCAGCACATTGCCAGCAACAGCAGCGCTAGCGCCAGTGGGAGAAACGGCGTGGGCTGAAGCAACCGGCAAGTCATTTTGTTTTTTTTTCCTTTTCCCTCCTTCTTGCCCTTGCGGTGTTGGGGCTGTCAAACCGCCCCGAGAAGCCTCTTGAGGGGCAGAGAAGATGTCAAGGCTTAGCACGAAGGAGGGACGCAGTTCATGTGCACAACTGTGGGTCTCTGTGTGCTGTCACTGATGCAGCGGAATTCTCTTCAAGGTGCGTCGAGGTTTCTTCCCACGGATTTAGAGGCAACTGAAAAAATCAAAAAACATGCATATAAATATATATTATATATGTGTACGTATGGCCTGCGTGAGGGGAAGATATCGCCTTGTTGCAGCTTCCCACGCAGCGTTCATGTTTCTTCGTATCCTCGACCTCGTTTTCTCATGCAACACATGAGGCACACAGCAACAAGGCCGCCGTTGCGTGTGGGCAGCAGCAGCAGGCAGGAGGGGAAACTCGTCACTCATGAGGCTTTGTAGCGAATGACCGTAGAAGCCACAAATAATAATAAAAAAAAAGAGCGAGAAGAGACCGCGCCCTTGAATTTCCTGCAAAAATCCAGAGAAGCACACAACCGTAAAATAACGAAGGGAGCGAGTGGTAAAACAACGGTTGAGAGAAGAAAAACAAAATAAATCAGAGACCCCTTTTTTTCCTGCAGCAATGAAATCGATCTCTGCGGATAATCTTTGGCAACCGGGGACGCGGTGCCTCACTCGCCCCACTCAGCAAAGAGCTGCAATGCCCCACAGCCCCAGAAGCAGCAGCAACAGCCGAGGCACACACACCCGCGCACAGTGCCGTTGCCGCTTGTGTTCATCGGGAACATCCCTGCGGCTTCCTTGGAGTAAACAGAGCTCAAATTTAAGTGCGGTGCTGTGCCAGGTACTGGCGGGATGCTTCCCTGCCCGGGCGCCTCATCTGCGTTGCACTCAGAGGCGTCGCTGACGCCATCCTTCAGTGCCGCGATGGTGTTGCTGGATGCATCCTGGCCGCTGCTCGTATCCCCCGCAGTCTGGGAGTTTGGCTCATTTTACTCGGCGTCAACGCTTGGCAACTCGCTGCTGGACGTGGCGGGAGTAGGCGGCACGCCGCCAGCGTTCTCTGAGGAATGCGATGGAGTGTTCTGCGGCGACTGATATAGCATGCGGAAAGCAAAGCCTCTTGTTGCGGCTGAGAGGTTTGCTCACTGACTGCACTCTCAGCCGCAGCAGGCTGACGCGCATTGCCCACATTCGGCGCTGGCAGTGCTCAGGGCACCGACCCGTCGTTGTCTCTTCCCGCTCCTTCCCGTGTTTAGCCCGCCTTGTTCCCCTGAACGGCTGGCGTGGGATGCCCGCGCGGGTTGACAACCGCCCCCGCACCTGTGGGATGCAGCGCAGTTTCTGGGCCCGGTGCCTCCGTCTCTTCCTCCGGCTCAGGAGGGGCGGCAGGGATCTTCCTTAGCGCTGCCAGCTCAGCCTCACGCACTGCGCGGCTGTACAACAAAACGTTGGCCACCGTCACTGTCCCCGCCAAAGTGGACGTGTGAGACGGTGCCTCTCTTCAGCAGACTGTCATTTGAGTTACTTCCGCACACCTTATTTCCACCAACGTGCACAGACCAATTGCTCCAATGCATTTGCAGTGCCACTGGATATGCCGTGTTTGGTGCCCACGCAACGCCGCCAGCCGCCAGCCGCCCACCATTCACCGTCACCTCCCACTTCTTCTCATGTCTGGATGACAGGCCCAAAGGTACCGTGTTGTTTGTGCCATTCACCTCCGCACCGATCAAAGGAATTGTGCTGCCCCCCGCGGGCACCGCGTGGACGGCCACCGTCGCCACAAGACTGAACCCGTTGTTTGCAAAGTCGTACGGCTCGCTCTGCCCCCAGTTGCCCACAGGCCACTCAGCTCCTGAGCCATGCGCCTTGAACCTCACACCATTGGAAGTCTCCTCTGTGCCCCCTGCTGTCCCATTCGTTACAGCTGCGTTGACGCAGAGCTATTCCTCCTTCCACTGGCCGCCAATTAAGGCGCCAGCCAAATACCCAACCAACCCTTCTATGGAAACCGAAGATCTGCACCTCCCGCCACTCGAGGCAGGCGCAGCGGCATTTGAAGGGCACAGCTTCCTGACACCTTCGTCCACTTCTTTCCATGCCCCCACCACGCCCTTTCTCTGCTGCAGCCGCCCAGTCAGGCGCACAGACACAAGGCTGTACGAGTCACCTTCACCAGTTTTCTTCTCGTATACTGAAAGCAATTGCTCCTCCTTGCCATCACCACCTTTATACAGCAGGGAGCTGGCAGCGGCGTTCTCATCGGCAGCAGATATCGGCCCAACGTCGTGCACATGTCGCGTGTCAGTCACCCAAAGAATAAGATATCCCTTTCCTTCTTCGTTGTCTGCGTCTTCCGAACACACCGGCATGGTGAGGAGCATCAGTTTCCTCGTCTCAATCTCCGCGGTGGTAAAGCCGCTTCGAGCGACATTCCCTTTTCGATTCCGTGAGGTGCCCCACAGGCGAAAAAGTGTCGCGTCTTCCTCCATACACTCTCCTCCCTGGTCACGGGACTCCACCACCCTGTAGAAGCCCTCATCGCAAGAGGTGATCCATGTAGAGTACCCCACAAAACTTCCCATCCCCTCTCAGGTTTGTTTCACTGCAGGACGAAAGAGACCACCGTCCCGTCCTCCAAAATAACACCAGTGCCTCCCCCACCCACCAGTTCTGTTATGGCCGTGTAGTAAATCTGGGTGGGGAAATAGGGCCACAGTGCGTAGGTATCTATCCAGTTAATTTTATTTTGCTGCAGTGTGCTGCTCGTTTCACCGGCGCCGAACACCGCCTTTGCCAGCAGCAGGTCCGTGTAGTGTGCATTATTGTTGCCAGCAGAGCCTGGAGTGCCGTACTTTCCGAGCAGAACGTAAGCCGCGTTCCCATTCACAATGGTTGTTGGCATCGTGACACGAGGGACACTTCCACCCGCTGAGTCAACTGCCTTCGGAAAGTGCGCCGACAGCTCCGTATCGATCACTCTTCCACCCTGCAAGGCTAATGCCGCATCAGACGAGATGCTCCCTGCGACAATACCAGCAGCAACACCAACGGAGCCTTTCGAGTGCACCTCGGCAAAGACGACAGCCTCGTCATTCACAAGAGCAACTTCAGGGACACGGAACGAATCCGTTGCCGCATTAACGCCATCTTTGTCTCTCAAACCAATGGCCACATTCGCAAACAACTGCCATTTGGGTAACAGATAACCCGGCTCCCACTTTCATCGTCCTCAGCGTATGCACCTTCACTGCTGCAGCACATCAACAACACAACGAGGAGCAGCAGCACCGCAGGAAAAAAACAAATACCGGGACATCTTCAGCATGTGTCGCTCTCTCTCTCTATCTCTCTCTTCCTTCCCTCCTTGTGGAGAATCCACTCAGGCCGCAACGGTTGTGTGTGTGAACAAGAGATGCGAGGAAGGATCAAAAAGGCAAAAAAAAACGAGAAAAATAAATAAACGTTGAGGACGCACAGTTCTCTAGTGGCAAGGCGTACGGACCAGCCCTTAGCCCCCATCACCGCATGGTAGAAACGCTCCCACATCCACAGAGAAGCAAAGAAGCAAAGAAGCAAAGAAGGATATAAATATCTTCCAGTGTTCAACGGTACGGTGTAACTAAACAAAAATGGAAACAATGAAAAATCATTTTTCCCTTCGTGTATGAAGCTGCCGCGAAGTGGAAACAGTGGGCCCGCACACCGCATACATCACAAGGGCTCTATTTTAAGGTACTTCTCAGTTCCATCAAAAAACATACACGCAAAGAAAGTTGACAACTCCACACAAAACAATAATCAATGAATAAAACTGGAAGGCCAGGTGGCTCTCCGCCTCTCCCCAACACTCCGCATCCTCACGTACACAATACACTTTGAGCTTACCAAAACCAATT